GTGGAGGAACGCGGCCGTCTGTGGCCACCATGGCCAGAAAGGGCCACAGGCACACCCAAGAGCAGGTGCGCCTCAAAGTTAAGGACTGCAGCAGGCATATGCCAGGGCCACCAGAGGCGGCGCCGCAGCAGGGGCTGACACCTGCCACTACTTCCCCACCCTCGACTGCATCGTGGGGGGCATGACTGCCCGCACCACCCCGGGGGGCAGTGAGCTGGGTCTGGAGGGCCCTCACCTGGGTGCGGCAGAGGGTCATCGTGGAGGGTACCACGCCAGCAGGACCCCCAAGCTGTCCCAGCACCAGTCAGCAGGGTCATCCAGGGAGGCCACACCAGGTATGTGCCATCACTGTCCCCTACCGGAGGGGCGGGGGGAGAGGAGACTAGGGACCGTGCGTGTGAGCCTTGTCCACCACACAACACGCAGCAACCTGTGCATGTGCGAGCACGTACCATGCCACCCTTGAGCAGATGGCTCCAGCTGCATGACACCCAGGGACTGTGGCCTGATAAGCACATGCGTGTGTGAAGAGACCTGACACACTCCTGACCCTGGGGCAGGACCCAGCAGGATGCCTTCCCTTCACACATCCCCTCTACAAAGAGACAGGGGACATCTCCCCCCCCCACCTCAGCCGCACTATACACGGCACAGGGGCATGGGTGCAGTCTCAGGGGCACCTCCCACTCCCAGGGATAGCTGGACATTCCAAACATGGTCTCTGTGAAAGCACAGCCGTTCTGACAGTGTAGGGCACAGTCATCCTCACCTCGTGGGGGGACCTGGGCTTCACCTATTGTGTCCCCAGGGAGAACTGACCACTTCTCTTCTTTCTCCACAGCCGCACAAGCTGCATGTGCAGGGCGCACTGCCCCGCCTTGGACATGCTTCCGCACCTGAGGGCTCTGCAGCACCACAGCAACACTGCAGGGGTACCAGGACCAGCACCTAGGGGCCCTGTGAGCCCTGACCTGCATCATGGAGCAGCAGGTGCAGGAAGAACAGGAGTTCCGGCTGGAGCTGCTTGCCCAGGGTCGTGCCATCTGTGCCAATCTGCAGACCCTGGTGGAGAGCGTTCTGCCTCATGCCGCTCCTGCGCCTGCTACCCCCCCCCAGCTACCGTTCCTCAATCTCCACACCCTCTTCCCCATCTACCCCAGGGACGCCAAGGCCCCCGTACCGACTGTGCTGGAAGACATGTGGCCCGGCGATACCCCCGCCATCTGTGCCAATCTGCAGACCCTGGTGGAGAGCGTTCTGCCTCATGCCGCTCCAGCGCCTGCTACCCCCCCCCAGCTACCGTTCCTCAATCTCCACACCCTCTTCCCCATCTACCCCAGGGACGCCAAGGCCCCCGTACCGACTGTGCTGGAAGACATGTGGCCCGGCGATACCCCCGCCCCTGAGCTTCCCCTTCCAGCTCCCTCCTCCCAGTTTTTCCCCCTCCCCTCTCCCGCCCTCTCTCCTGCCCTTTCCCACCTCCTTTCCCCAGTCTCCCTAGAGGTTCATCCTCCCCCGTCTCCCCCCCAGTTGTGTTAAATAAAGAGTGTATATTGTTGAAAATATGTGTATTTTATTTGACATTAGGAAAGGGGGGTTAGGGAGGGGGTAAGTGGAGGGAGGTGAGGGAGGAATGAGGCACAAGCCCCCAGTGGGGCAGACCACAGAGATTGTTAGCGCTCCTCAGGGCGGAAGCTCTCCCACAGGGCCTCCGTATACTGACAGCCCCCCTATGGGCCTCCAGAAAGTGCAGCCAGGCTGATGGCAACATGTCCACAAGACGCACCAGAGTGCCCAGGAGCAGCTCTGTCTCCATGTTGCAGAGTGCTATGGTGTCCCAAGTGAGGGCAACCAGAGCACTCCGAGACACACATGCTTTGCTGTCCCTCATCGAGGTAGACAGGCAAGCAGAGACACCTGAGAACTGGCTATCCGGGATGGGGGGTAGAGTCCCTTTAAGCACTGACCTCAGGTAGCCGCAGGCAGCAGCCCCACGCAGTAAGTCTTGACCTGCTGGAACTGGTTCTGGCCAACCTTAACTCCGATTCAGTCCACTCTGTGTGGATGCGCTATTTTGAAATTTCAAATGCTATTTTGAAACGCATTTTCTATGTAAATGCGTTAATTCGAATTAAGCTAATTCGAATTCACTATTTCGAATTAAGTTAACTCGCATTAACGTTGTAGTGTAGACATGCCCTTAGTGGAAATAGCTACTCCAGCGGATAAGATTTACTTCTCCATAGAAATACTTTATACATTGCTATGATACGGAAATGTTATAACTTCACTGAACTAGAATTCATAAGTTGTGTAGAAATATTTCCCAAATCATTACTCTTATAGGAGTTAAACTCAGGAGATAGGTAGTAATCAGTGAGGTCGTGGTGGGGTATGTGGCTTTTATAGACTGTTACTGCTGCCCTTTGACTTAAAAAAAATAAAATTTAAGAGCTTGAAGTTGTGCATGTATTGTACTTTGGAGCTGAGGTCCACAAGAGAATCCTGGAATGTCATTATTTCCAGAAAACAAATATAGGGTGTAAGCTTCCTTTATAAACATAATTGGGAATTTAAGAACACTTCAGTTTTCTTTTGAAAAAGTAAAATGACCTCAAATTCTGTGTGTACTGCTTCAAGGGTATTCTAAAACTTGACTAATCCAATAATTTAAAAATGAGTGCTCCTTTATGACTTAGAAGCAAAAAGTACTAGCACTATTAAAGCTGATTTGCAGCTATGAAAAGCTTAATAAAGTGTCCTGAATACTCCAAAATGAGAAGCAATCTAAGGTGGCACTTAGCACATTTGAATGGTAAATGTGCCCTCTCTTCTCCCCATCTCCTCCAATCTGCTTTTCAGGTCCTTGATGTTATGAATTGTCAGCATCTACTTGTGGTGATGGGTGTACTGTATAGGTAATAACACAGACCTGCTGGAGCTTGGAGCTAGCTTATAGTTGTAAGGTAGGTGTCTGTTTTACTATATTGTGTATTTTTGCATAGTTTATTTTTAAAATATTGCCCTCTGGGATATACAATACAAACTTTGCAAAACCGCATAACATAGTAAACAAAAGGCACCTCACTTATCCAACTAGTGTGCTGAAATCCTGATTTCACACATTGTTCCTTTTCTGATCTAGGCTGCTGCAGTCCTCTCTTCTCTCCCCTCTCCCTCCCTCCCCCCCAGGTTTCCTCATCTGGTTATATAAACCAAATTTTCCCTCTGCTACAGTCTCTCCAATTTGTGACTCTCCAATTCTTCTGTCACTGCACTGACTCGGATGTTTCCCTTCTCTGGCTCTTTGTGCGTCAAGTTCAATGTCTTGTCCTGGCCTTTAGGGCCTTCCACAGCTCTGTGTTTACTTCATTTTTACCCTGACATTTTGCTTAACTTCATTTTGCCTACTTCTTAACTATCCCCAGTTTCTCCGTTCATTCTTTTCGTAGTGCTGTTATATGCTGCTTCATGTTTTCCTGTTCTTGAGTGAAAGGACTTCTGCTGCTTCAGACTCTTGTTTAAAGTCACTTTTTCAGGAGGCCTTTCAGTGATAACTTTTGCTAATCTTATGTACTGCTAACCTGCTATTGTTGCCATGTTGTTTGTCAGTTGTTTGCCTTTCTGAATTAGGTTTTAATCCCTTGGAGGAGAAGGCAAGATCTTTGTGCAATGTAAAGCATAGAAATGGTGTTCTAATGTTGGAACTCTGTGGTTGGTGTGACGCTGCTAGCATAGAGTTGGGGCTTCCTGTGAGGGGAAGCATTGTTATGCAAATGGTAAAAGACTATTTCAGAATATCTGAGAAGAACCATGGGTTAAATTCCCAATTTTACAGAGTACCCCTTTTGCCCTCTTTAGCATACAATTCTATATGGGATGCACTTTTTCTTAGCCCAGCTAGCTGGCTAAGACTTTTACTCTTTTCTGTGCTGTTTTTTTTTCTGTTCTTCCCATCTTCAAACATACATCCAATGGATTTACATCACCCTGCTGAAGGTAGTTCACACCCTGCAGGTAGTTCACTTTGTTTTAAAGGTAACTGAACCCTATACTAGAGATGCCAGAGTTTAGCCATTAAAATGGGTGGTTACCCAAACAATTACATGTGGCACTCTGAGCCACACTAGGAACCTGTTGCTGCCTCTGTACCAGAGGCAGCAGTGCCAGGCAGCAACCAGCTCCTGTACCAGAGGCGGCAGGGTAGCATCTGGCTCCCCACAAGCAGGGTGGGAGGAAGGAGCTAGTCCTAACAGGGAGCTGAATTAACAGCCAGCTCCTGGGAAGCCAACTGTCACCTTGCACTGCTGCTTCTGTAACAGAGGCAGCAGTGCTGGGTGGCAGCTGCTGCATGTCAATAGCTATCTTAAAAGCTGCTGCCCTGTGGGTGACCATTGAATTTCAGCAGTTACACGGTTAGCTAATTACACATTTTAACATCCCTATTTTATACGGGTGAAGCAAAGTTAGCCTAAGTTGACCTGTTTGAGGATGACTTTCTGCACAGTTGCAGTTCTAAGTTCCTTGAATGAGAAGGTGGTATGTAAGTAAAAGTTCTACAGTAGGATTTCAGAATTACAAATTGATTGGTCAACCACACACTTCATTAAATTCTGTTTGGAAACGGATTCTGTGCTTGTTTGATTTAAATTAAAATGGTTTAAAAGCAGCATTTTTCTTCTGCGTAGTAAAGTTTCAAAACTTTATATCAGCGGTCCATTCTAAACTTTAAGAAGGGCAGCATTTTATTCAGACTTACAAATATTTCAGAGTTACGAACCACCTCCATATGTGGGGTGTTTATAAATCTGAGGTTCTACTATTGTGTGCTGTTACATTCCTACTGCATAGACAAGTTGAGTTTTAAGTTTTTTGGTGTTATAGCATCCATCCATCTTTTTCAATTTTAATACATTACCTTGAACCTCCCAGTTGTGCCTTCCTGATACCTTTTAAGCTCAGGTTTTTTTTATTTATATATATTATTTATTTATTTACAGGACTGTCGCCAGATCTCCAGTCAATGGAGCAGATTCGGAGAATTATGAGACCCACAGATGTTCCTGATACAGGTGAGGTATACAGGAAAAACTTGAAAATTGAAGAAATTTAAACTTCAATACTTGACTTCCATCAAAGTGGATTTAGAGGAGGGCTTTTTAACCAGAGTGTATGGCATCACTGCTAGTGCTGGTCCACTTTTAACATTGCCTGCGGAATTATTTGATTCTAGTTCATAGGGACATTTTTATCTGAAAATCTGGCACCTGCTCTTGTTGCAAATGGCACCCAAAATGACTATAACTTGAAGAAACTTTTTTCATTTGTTTACTTGGGGCATTTGAGAGTACTTGATCATTTTTAATGTTCTGTTGTTGTGCATGCCCTTGCAAGCTATAAGGCAGTGTAGACCAGCAACAATAAAATCCAAAGCTGAAACTGTGGAGGTCTGAATCAAAAATATATGCAAGTATAGAGAGGAAAAATGAGGGTTACTCTTCTAAATATCAACAGGGAAGTCTGGTTCAGCCAGAAATTATTCAGCTTTAATGTAGGAATTTTTGTGAGATCCTATAATGTGTTGGTAGGAGTTGAGACTAGATATGGGGTTCTCAAACTTTATTGAGATGCACCCTCCTTCTGCCAGCAAAAAAAACTACATGACACCTGAGTCCTGCCACCCCGGGTAGGAATACAAAAGCCAAAGCCCCAGGGTTTCTACCTGAACATCAGCGCCTAAGCCTGAAGTGCTTGGGCCTTAAGCCCCAACAAGTCTAACCTAACCTCCATGAATTTATCTAGCTCCTCTTTAAACTGTTAGGCTGTGTCTACACTGGCCCCTTCTTCGGAAAAGGCATGCTAATTTCTAACTTTGGAATAGGGAAATGCGAGGGGGATTTAAATAAACATGGCCACCACTTTTTTTCCCGGCTTGGGGAAAAGCCGGAAAAGAGCATCCAGACTGGCGCGATCCTCCGGAATAAAGCCCTATTCCGGAGGATCTCTTATTCCTACTTGCAAGTAGGAATAAGAGATCCTCCGGAATAGGGCTTTATTCCGGAGGATCGCGCCAGTCTGGATGCTCTTTTCCGGCTTTTCCCCAAGCCGGGAAAAAAAGTGGTGGCCATGTTTATTTAAATCCCCCTCGCATTTCCCTATTCCAAAGTTAGAAATTAGCATGCCTTTTCCGAAGAAGGGGCCAGTGTAGACACAGCCTAACAGTTTAAAGAGGAGCTAGATAAATTCATGGAGGTTAGGTCCATAAAAGGCTATTGGCCAAGGGGTAGGAATGGTGTCCCTGGCCTCCGTCAGAGGCTGGAGACGGATGGTAGGAGACAAATCGCTTGATCATTGTCTTCGGTCCACCCCCTCCAGGGCACCTGGTGCTGGCCACTGTCGGCAGACAGGCTACTGGGCTAGATGGACCTTTGGTCTGACCCAGTACAGCCATTCTTATGATAGTGTACACAGTTAAATACTTATGCGCAAGTCACCCCCACCATTTCCTCACACTGCTCCCTCTGTATCAGAAGCAGCAGTGAGGTGGGGGAAAGCTGTACAGCCTTTTAAAGACTCTTAAGCAGGCTTCCCTTGTGGCTCCACAGGAGCTGGGGCTCCTTCTCTCTCCTCTTCCTCTTCCTCTCCCCCTCCCCCACAAACATGTAACTGCTGAAAATTTCAGCAGTTACATGTTTACAAAAAAACCCACTTTTTAACATCCCAAGTAGAAAACTAACGGAGGACAGTGGTGCTACCTTCTGCCCCCTCTGAGTATGTCCAAATCTAGAATTGAGGGTCTTTTATCCCTTGCAGGTTCTTTTAATATTTTAAAATCGGATACTAAACAGGCAAGCTTTCTTGTACTGAATGCAGGCAGTACATTTTAGCATTTCAGGTTGACTCAAATACTAGAAGCTTCCATGCAGTCTCTTAGTGGCCAGTTAACTATAGGCAAGTAAATATTAATGTCTGTGCTTCGTTTGATGGGGTTAGGACAAGCCAGGGCAGAGCCAGATAAGTGTGAAAAACTGAAAACACCTTCATGGAAGATGATGAAATGGTTACCAGAAACACCTTCAGAGTGATTTTTTTTTCTGGTTGGTTTATACAATAATACAGTTTTGGTGCATTTTCTCATACAGCTGTTTATCTAAACGTACATCTACACTGGAATAAAGGGATTTGGAGCATGGCTGCCCTAGTCCAGGTCAGCTGTCTTGGGCTGCAGGGCTAATCACCCTGCATATAGTCCCATCTGAGAATTGTATTGCTACTCAAATTGGAATTTACACTTTTCAGATTGACTGAATCATGAATCAGTGTACCAAAACTTTGTGTCATAGTCAACTTCGCCATAAAATATTATCTGGGAAGAAATGAAGAAATTTTATCTTGGCAGAGTGAATAATTGCATTAAGGAGCGTGGAATGCAGAACAAAAGGAACAAGTGTAAACTCTGTTTTTTTGTTTGTTTGTTTGTTTTTTTAGTAAACAGTGTTTTGGAGAAGTTTGATTAGAAGATTTGATGTAATATCCACACAAATAAGCTCATGTCAGATTTTCAGCTTTAAAGTGCACAGTAGCATCATTGAATTGAATCTAGATAAAATACCTGAGCAGTAACTGACAACTTTAATACCATCAATAGCCAGGTTTATTTTACTTGTTAGTTTCTGTAACACAATGCTAGCATATTTTCATATCTATAATAGAGTACCTAACTAGCATACCTGATTAAATTAATCTTACTATGTAGTTTTGCTATAACTACAAGTGGGAGAAGGCTTTTAAAATGTTAAACTTACATGGAAATTACACATCTAGAATCAAATGTCATGTTATCTTTCAGAACTTACTAAAAATTGTAACCTGGGTCCTGGGTATGACCAGTTGGATTACAACACATTTGTAACTAGGAGTACTAGTGTGGTGCTCTTGACTAGATACCATATGGCATAATTAAGACACTGCATTTCTTGGTTTTTAGGGGTGTTAACTCAGTGACTCACAAAGATCAAATTCTTTTGAAACTTCATATCCAAGATTGTACATGGCAAGCATGTGTCTTCTGTACTACAATATTATGAAGAGCCATCTGAGATTCTAGTTCAGACTGAATATTGATCTATGGGCCAACCAAATTTGATTGCTGCTCTGCATTATGCATGTACAGCAGTAGTCAAGAACTACTCAGATAATCTGAGTAAATGTGCTATCTTATTATGTAACTTCTCTAAATGTTTTTCAACTATATTCTACCCAAAAACTTTCACCAGCTTCTTACTACAGCTTACTCATACCCACAGGCCTGTAACTTCAAAAAAGACGCAACCTGGCCCCAGTTCCACAATATTGTTGGTTTGGGTGTTAGTATTTTGTGGAGCTGTTGAGGCAGGGTTGATTTTTAAATAAGGCAACTCTCAGATTAGTGATTTTTAAATCTTCGAGTGGGAAAACTTTTATTTTATTTAAATCAATATTAATGAAATTTCTCATTTGTATTTATTTTCTAAGGCAAGACACATTCTCATTAATATAACCATTAAAACAGTTGTAAACCAACATAACTAGTGCCTTGTCTATATTTGGTTACTTCTTTTTGATGCACAAGAGGGCATACTACAAATACATCCATTTACGTGATTATAGCATAATAGTTTCAGATCCTTGTTTTTAGGACAGGTTGGACTTCCCAGGTCTGGCACCTTGGGACCTGATCGGTCCTGGAGAAGGGAATTTTCCGGACTGGGGAAGTTTTGGAGTAGGAACTCCAGCCTTCACACTGGACTCCTCTCCCCAGTATTTCAGCACTGCAACCTGCAGCAACCCTGCTGGAGCTCCACCACAGCTTGTGTCCAACTCCTCATTGAGTCGTTAGCAACCTCTGCTGCTGGGGCTGTCTCGTCCTGCAACTTCCTTGGTCCTTTCAGACCACGGATGTTTCCAGACCAGAGTCCCAGACGACAGAGGTTCAACCGCTGTATCAGAAAATGGTGAATTATATGTTTACTACATAGGGTTTAGCTCATTATTTGTGTCAAGCGGCTTTATTAAAATGGTAACTGCAATTTAATTAAACAAATCAAATACATGTTTATTAAAGAAAACAACCATATGTGTTTGAGTTAGCTTTTCTTATCTGAACATGTTTCACAGCTACAACTAAATGATTTATTAAACAGCGGGATAAACTGTAATCAATTAATCAAGCTGATTATTTCAGGTCAGCCTGGAAAATGTTTTAGATATGCCTAAGTGAAACTGACTGGACCTTGTTCCCACTTCCCTATATCTCTTGAGTTCCCAGAGTTCATGTAGCTGACCTCTTTTGCCACAGTAATAAAGCTTGACTTCAACAGTTGTTTAATTCTGAATCAGTCTTTATATATAAAAGCAGCCTTTAACCCCAAGTTTTTGATACGGACTCTTAGATGCAGCATGTGGTGTTTTTTATATAAAAGTGGTCAGAATAAGTTTAGGCCTTAAGGTAGCTTGTGTTTAAATTTAGATTTTACTTTAAACAGGTTTGTTTTTAAAATTTCTTGCTATAATCTTTTTTAAGAAACATCTTTTTTAATCCACCCAGCTTTGAAGGTTTTTTATCATATTTGCATATATTACTAACTCACTATTGGTAATCCCTAAAATTATACAGTTGTTCCTTTTTCTTAAAATATAAAGAAATGCTAGGGCACTTTCTAAGATTACTGTCTTTCAAAGGATTGCTGTGCGACTTACTGTGGTCGGATCCGGACAAAGATGTGCAAGGATGGGGCGAAAATGATCGTGGGGTCTCGTTCACTTTTGGTGCTGATGTGGTCAGTAAATTTCTGAACCGTCATGATCTGGATTTGATCTGTCGAGCTCATCAGGTACAAACTCTGTCTTTGCTAGTTAAATCGCCCCTTCTAGCCTGTTTCAGTCTCTTAATACCTGAGTATCATCTTCGCTTATGTTTAGGCTATCGCTTGCAGGTATCTTAACGTGCTAGATTGGAAAATGGATTCTGCATTTACAGTTTGATCAGATGTAGTTGCCTTGGTATTTTTCTAGAAGCACCAAATACAAAGGGTGTTTCTCAGACACCAGAATCTAAATCCTATCACCAGGATTTGTGGATACTTATTTGTTTCAACAACAATGATATCATGCATATTTCACCCACTCACATTATGTAATTGCTGTAGCTTTCTTGTTCATTGGGAGCACGTGAATATTTTACAGGTGCAGTTTAGGTGCCTAAGCATCAAGAATTGTGCAACTGGTGGCTTAAATATAGGGCATGGAATCATTGAGTTCTAATCTTGACTTCCTGTGGAGAACTAAGCCAAAATTAAAGTGACATCTGATTTTGGCTATTCACATTTTGGGTCTCCAACTTTAATGCATACTTTTTCAGAGGCATTGAGCCCCTCAACTGTGGAAGCCTAAACAAGTGTATTGTATTGGAATCTGCATTCCAGGGTTGTTGCCCTTATTCTGGTTCAAATGCATATATAAACTTTCCCTGGGAATGGTCTATTTCTCTTATTTGATTCTGAAACTGCCTAATGTAATGCTTAAATATATAGATGACTTTAATATTGTTTATTCAAAAGGAATATAATTAAGCTTAGTAGACTAAGAATTGACCTCTTGAGAGTAGCTCCCATCTGGGAGTTAGGTTTCATTACTTATACTATTTTTTAATTAACTTTTCCTATTTCTGAAAAATGATACAAATTGTTACCACAAGACATGCATTTTGACACTCTTGCCTCTCTCTTCACTGACTTAGTCACAGATCCTTTCACTCTGCAATTGTAATTGACAGAATGTCTACACTGCACTAAACTTGAAATAAAGTACTATTTCGAGACATCCCTTAACCCTCATGGAACGAGAGTTACCGGGATGCCAAAATAGCGTGCCAGTTACTTCGAAAAATATTTTTAAATAATGGGTGGCTTGTGAAGACATGGGGGAGCTGTTTGGGATACCTCTGGTATCCTGAAATAGCTTCGATGTGTAGACATGCCCTAAGTGTCTCAAGATCAGTGCTTACACTGACAGCAGTGTTATCTGAATCCGTTAGTCAGGCAGTCTTTTAAAAACATGCAGTGCAGTTGAAACTGTTGGTCCCAGGATGTGAGGCAAGGTGGGTGAGGGATCTTTTCTAAGACCAACTTCTGTTGGTGAGAGAGGCAAGCCTTTAAGCCACACAGAGCTCTTCAGATCTGAGAGAGATCCTCCTAGCATTACCGCAAGATAGAACAGATGGTGCAGCACAGCGAGGTAGCCCACCAAACACTTGGATCTGGGCCACTAACGTCCTGGGGTGCTCAGGCAAGCTGCCTACCTGCTATGGCTCCTCATGCTGCTCAAAGCAGTAAGTTGCTGGAGCAAGCATGACTCTGCATTCATGCCCATTGGCAGTAAGGGGGCAGCAGGTGTCTGTGCACTGTCCCTGCCTCTAGTACCATCCTCGCAGCACCCACTGGCTAGAAACTGGTCAATGGGAGCAGTAACAGCAGTGCTTGCGAGTGCAGGCAAGGCATGGAGACTCACTGTCTCCCTGTCCCAAGGGGAGCAGAGATATGCTTGTCCTAGTAGCTGTCAGCTTTGACCAACATGTGGGCCTGTGGTAGACAGGCAGCCTGCCTAAGCACTCTGCTGGGCTTCTGGCCAGGAGTTGCCAATGGTAAGACTAAGCCTAACCCTGGCACTCCCTCTCACACCCAACCAGCTGCCCCAAGTCACAAGCCCTTCCTGCAGGCAAACCCCCTCCTAAACCCTGTACTCCCTCATACACCTCAACACCCTGCCCGGAGCTCCCTCCTGCACTTTAAACTCTGCCAGACTAGGGATGTGAGGGAGTAGTCAACTACCCAATAAGCTTTATGCTTATCAGGTAGTCAAGTCAGTTACTCGCATGTCCCCTCCACTGCTGCTGCTCTTAAAAGCTGGTTCCCCTCAGCACTGTCCCTGCGGTACCACCCATCCCGCTCCTTCACTGTCCCCCCTGCTGCTACCTCTATCAGGCAGCAGGGGAGGGACAGGGGCTGCTGTTGCAGTGAAGCAGCCCCTGTGTACAGGAGGTCCCAACTTCCAGCTGTGATCCCCGTGCACAGGGGCTGCTGCTAGTTGGGCACACAGCCCAGCTTGCACTGGGTGTGGGACCAAACCTTGCTGCAGCTCTACAATTTAAAAGGCAGTAGGAGCCAGGAGCAGATTGCCCGGCTCTTACTGCCTTTTAAATTGCAGAGCTGCAGTGGGGTTTGGTCCTTCACGTGGCATGAGCCAGAACTGAGCTGGGCTGCCTATCGAGTAGTTGATAAAAATTCTTTCAACTACTCGATTAAATACCCTACTCTTAACATCCCTAGCCTAGACCCTGCTTCCTCTCCCTTAATATAGGAAGAAAGTGCATCCCATGGCTACTTTCCAGACTTTTCGGATGTTCTCCCTGTAAAAATTATTGCCCACTCCTGGTTTTAGCATAAATAGTTAGCACATTCACATAATATATAAGAATTCCACAGATCACCACACCTGCCTTCATAAATCCCCAAACATACCAAGAAATCTGTTGTTATAGCCAGGCACCAGATACCATAGAATATGTTCTGAGGTGAAAGTCTGGTGTTTATATACTTAAATCTACATTCAATAAAGGAGGACACTCTGTCAGGGAAGTACAGGCATTTTCCGGGTTATGTGCAAGATAGGGACTGTAGGTTTGTTCTTAAGTTGAATTTGTATGTAAGTCGGAACTGGTACATATTGTAGGGGAAACTCTAGCCAAACATTTCTCCAGAGCTCAGTTTTATTCTCCCACACCTCACTTCCCTCAGTCCTTTCTTCTCAAGCTGAGGTGTCTGCTGAGAAAAGCCGCTCCGCGTCTCCCTGGTCTGCTGGGGGGAAGCAGCTAGTGCGGGGTTGCCTCACCCTGTTTGTAAGTAGGGATCCGATGTAAGTCGGATCCATGTAACCCGGGGACTGACTGTATATCACATCATGGAATGGGCAACCCAAATACCTTGAGAGAACCTGCTTTAATACAGAAATTCCCACCCACACTCTCTCCCTCTCCTTCCCTCCCTCCCCCCTTCCTTCCTCCTAGTTATCTATCCCCTCACATTGAAATTCATACAGGATCTCAGACTACAACCCATATTCGAAGGGGACCACATCCTGAAAGAAGTCTTTCAGAAATCCCCACTTCTGCTCTTCAGACAACTCTTCAAGCTCATCATAAGCAAGCTTAAGTAGACAAGGACGCACCGATTCAAAGTAGGGATATTAAATAGTGGTTAAGAAGCTAAGCAAGTAGTCGATAAGGAGGTTTGCTGCAGCTCTGCTTTTTAAAGGCCTGGTCCAAGATCCTGTACCTCTGCTTTTAAAGTCAGGCAGCTCTTACTACATTTAAAAAGCAGAGCCAGTGTCTGGGACTGCTCAGTCCTGGCTCGTGCCGTTTCCCCCTCTGCACCTCTGCCTCCCCTGTGGAGATGGTGCTGAGGGGAACCAGCTTTTAAGATGGCTCTTCTCCCCCCTACCCCCCATTTGCTGCCTGTGGTACAGAGGCAGTCAGAAAGGGGAAACAACTAGCTGAGTAATGACTCAACTACACAATAAGCTTAGGCTTATTGGGTAGTTGACTAGTCGCTTACGTCCCTAATTCACAATGGTACCAGACCTTTCTAGAACAAATGTAAAACTCTATATCTCTACCACAACAGAGACCTACTTCCCTGTGCCTGCACCCCCCACGCATAACAGATCTTTCAAGATCCATGAATCCCACATGTACTTATCACAACATATTATGTATCTCATCCAGTACACTCACTGCCCTGATAACTCATGGGTAAAACTACACTATTGCTGTGCTTTCAAATAAATTCACATAGGAAATAAGACACACTGAAAACCCATGGACTGAACAAACACTAGCTCTAGCTTATAACCGCTTGTAACCTGCTAACCGCCTCTTATGACTGCAGAGGTGTTAACCTAAGGGATGATTCAAGGTAAAATAATTTCTTAAGCAGTTAGCATATATACTAATCTATCTGTTCCACCTTGAATTTTGCTGGGAGGACTGCCTTTCCCAGACCTGAAAAAGAGCTCTACGTTGCCTGAAAGTCCCTCTCATTAGCCGAAGTTGGTCCAATAAAAGACTACCTCCTCCATCTTTCGGGTTTCGGTGAATGGTACCAGAATATAGTGAGAACTGTATGGAATGCAGTAGTAATGTGATATCTGTTAAAATTATCTAAAACACTTGTTTGAATTACAAAACTTTTGTACTCTGTATAAGATTACCAAATGTTATCAATTGAAAGCATATTCATCAAACTTCAAATCTGAAAATCTTAATCAGATTTATCAGCATGTTAGCTGTAGATTTTAAGTTTGATTTCATATATTTTTTTTTCTGATATGGCATGACATCCCAGTGGTCTGTATTCACCTCCACTCATTAGATAATGTTCCTTCTACTGCCTACTTGTCTCTTCCATAACATAAGCAATTGGAGCCTGCCTGAGAACTTTAGTTGGTAGAATGAATCTAATTCTTGCAAGATTTGTTTTAGATAGCTTATTGACTTTAACCGTTTTCCTCCCCTTCCCTTTGACAGGTGGTTGAAGATGGATATGAATTCTTTGCTAAACGACAGTTGGTTACCCTATTTTCGGCTCCAAATTACTGCGGCGAGTTTGATAATGCTGGAGGCATGATGAGTGTGGATGAAACTTTGATGTGTTCCTTTCAGGTATACTATGCTACTAGATTAAAATGTAGTCACTGTGCTTTTTTCAGTAGACAGGTGTATAGAAACTATAAATTGGCACTAAACTTGCACCACTAATGGAAAGTAAGTGCAGAAGACACTACTACACAGCAGGCTGGTATCAAACCAATTTTGACCCAGTGAGCTCTTTAAGAGGCTTGGAATTCCTGAAAATAAACTTTCCATGTTTCATAGCTGCCATATGCTAGCTCCACTGCGTTCTCAGGTGCACATTTAGAACTTGAGTTAATCTTCTTTCTCAGTCATTTGGAAATGAAGTCAGTCTATAGAGGATGATATGTGGAGACATGAGAGGACTACAGAAATAAACAGGGTGGTGAGGCTTATGTTCTTTGTTTTTGCTCCTCAAAGGTAATAAAAATGCAGTCAAAAATTTGAACAGTCACATTGACTAGTAATATATGGAATGCATCTCAATTGTCATGTACTTACTAAAATGTTTCCTTGGATTTTTTCCCCTCCAAAGATATTGAAACCATCTGAAAAGAAAGCCAAGTACCAGTATGGTGGATTGAATTCTGGACGTCCAGTCACTCCACCTCGTACAGCTAATCCACCAAAGAAGAGGTGAAGAAAGGAACTATGTCAAAACATCAGATCTATCAAGGACAAAACTCCATATTACAGTATATAATAAGTGTGCACTGTAAAACCATCCAGCCATTTGACACCCTTTATGATGTCACACGTTTAACTTAAAGAGACGGGTAAAGGATCTTTACTAATTTTTTTCTAGTAGAAAGATGTGCGACACTGTATTGTAACAAGTATAGCTCCAAGTTCTAATATCCAACATAGAGTAAAATCCAGATGAAAAAAATCTATTAAATTACATGTTCACTTATCACAGTTTTTAAAGTTGACCAACATCCCAGTTAAAACTTAATGTAATACTTAAACCAGATGAGAGCATGATGTTCAATTTGTGTAATGTGGTCTTATTGTTGCTTGATTGCTTTTACTTTGGTTATTTTGTAGCTAGAATGATGCAAATATGGTATTTAGTCATGTTCCCTGGCTTGCTTCCAGTGAAATACGGAAGGGGCTTTTTAGGACAGCCACTGATTTCTTTCCCCAATCTTTGTAATCTTGCTAACGTAAATGTGTGCCCCATTGTAACAAAGGTGATAGTATGATAGTGAATAAAAAAGGCAAACAGTATCTATATTAGTGACCCAGAAAAGCACCCTGACTGCAAACCATGACAGTCAACATTGAAAGACAGAAAATTCTCTCTTCCTTTTTAACTTAAATTGCCACAGGACAAATTTGCGCACTACATTGTTTTAAATTATTGACATGACACCGTGCAATGGCACTTCACTTAAGACAAAAATGGTATTGCCTTTAGTTGGTAACGTGATTGTGGTACCTTGGCTTTAGGTTTTATTAGCACGAAAACACCTTTGGCATGCTTAGCTTCCCAGTAACATCCTGTCTGCATCAAAATGCATCTTGCATAGCTCCACAAAACATGAAGATCCTTATTTGATAAGCCTTGGAAAGCTGAATTTTTTTCATAAGAGGGTGTATTTAAATGGGTGTTGATCAGTGAACAGTAGGTTAACTGACTGGTGGTTGAACTGTCTAATATTGCCATGTGAATGTTCTACATGATTGTAAGGCTTATGTCAGTTAAGATTATATCCTGGATTTTCATGATCAAAGTTCATATATTGTATAGACTTTTGCTTTGTAGTGTACTATAGTAGCAATAATTTCTGTACATGATCAAGAGTTATGTAGTATTTCTTTTCCTGTTCTCTTCTTTCTTAAAGTTCATATTGACAAGTGGCAAGGTATAGGGAAGTCACAAAGATAGTAGTGGAGTAAAAATTGTTAGACACGGATTTCTGATATTAGTATGTAACACTATTGGGTATGATTATAAAAGTTTTTATCGAATATGGCAAATTTTGTAAGATCCTTTGAGGGAAGATTTCAGATTTATACCATTCTAAATGCAACAGTGGATATAAAACTTGGCTTCAATATTGTCTTTGAAAATGTTAACTTGAGGATTCTGGCAACATACACTTTATGAACTGGCACAGTTTATAATGCAAGAGAATGATTTCTGACAGTGAAAAAGTTCTTTAAAATGGATTTCTTTTTTCTAATTCCATTTTGTTTTAATGCATATTTTAAATGTAGTTTTTCATTTAGTAAAAGTTGTCTAATTGATTTGAATCTGTCTGGTTATTTTAAACTTTTTTTCAGTTGCTACTCAGCAGTTAATGTTAATACTGATCTTTCTGTCTTTGAGGCAGACTCTCAGCTGCTGTTTGAACAGTGGCTTTAGAGCCTTTTCTGAGGTAATCATTGATGTTAGTGTTATAATATTGTGACATCAGGACAGCCATATGATACTTTTCTGAGTTGATCAATGGTGACTATCAATGTTACTGGGTCAAGTTTTGAAAGGCTGGATTTCTTTCCAAACACTCGTCTTGAAAATACTCCCCCAAAAAGCACAGTATCAAATAGTGTGATTAATACTTTCAAAATCTAAGCAAAAACTGGAAATGCATTTTGTGTTCTAAAATTTCCATGTCTAGAATTGCAGCGTAGAAAATTATGGGGCTAATGTGTTCACTTACATTGCAGATGTTCCCACAGACTGATCTTCAGAAGAGATTTCCCATATCTTCAGAGTCTTTGGTTTTTTTTTTATCCCATTTCCTTTTATAATAGAAATTGCAATTTTTGTCTGTTTCTCCTGGAGAATTATCATTATATACTGGTGATACCATGCAAGTGAAATATGAGAGGAAGTGATTTTTAGATTGGTCAGGAGGATGGATTTATAACTATAATACCAGAGTGAAGTGGTGGAATGAATATCCCTGCCTTATCAAGGGCTGAAAGTTCATGTTCCACATCTAAAACATTTAGCAATATGAAGAGAGACCATTATTGATATTCTTGATATTTTGAGGGCAAATCCAAGCATAACCGTTTAAAAACAGTTATTTAACAGTTTTAATGCTTGGCTTGCAGCCTGGCCTACTACCCCACTCTGCTGTGACTAGGGGGCCCTGCTTCCTATGTCACTGCAGTCGCAGATCCCACTTCCAGTCCCACAACGCCCTCCATGGCCAGGGTGGTTCCAACCCAGTGAGGCTGGCCGCTGCCATAGGTTTCTCATCGGGGCCAGTTAAACATTAAGCATACCAGTTAAGCCCACTGGTAAGCAGGAGGCTTATGATTAACCATTTTAACATCCCTATTAAAAACTAAAAAAAACAAGTTTATTTTCCTCAAACAAGCAATATCTTAGTGTATTCTATAATGTAAATATATGCCTAACAATGTTGAATACTACTTGTCATCAGGCTTTTTAATCCTGAACTGAATGAGATTAAGTATAACAAATGAATTGTATCCTGAGCTAAAATGCCAAGTTTAAGGGGAACTTTTGATATCCCTCCTCGTGCAAAAAGCAGTAGTGAAAATGGAGCATTTAACCTTCAACTGAAGCGCAAGTGCTTTCAGATTTAATTCCTACTTCCACGTAAACCACCTGATGAATTTTTAAGCAAGTGAAATCTATTGGAGAGCCAAGAAGTTGAAATGAGAGGGATCCCAACTTTCTTGGAAGAGCTGAAGGTGTTTGGTACTTAAGCGCTGTCTTGACACATGATGAGATTTCAGGGAAACAAGGTTTCTGGAGCCTAAGTTATAGGGAGCTTCTAAATATTACTAGTGCCATTTGAGTTAAACTCCCCAGTTTCAAAATTTAGTAGGTTATAGTTGAAGCCATAGCTCATCTTTTACCTCTATCTTCATATAAAATCTCAAAGCACTTTACAAAGGACTGGAAATATATCTCCGTTTTACAGATGGCAGAGTGAAGCACAGAAGTGGTCTGTCCATTGACTTTTCAAATTTAAAGAAGTGGTGCAAGTCAGACTTTTTTTCAATGTCATGGAGGAAAAAAGTCACTAAAATAGTGTCTACGTGCCAAATTTCTATTGTGCTAACCATGTTAGCATGTTTATACATAATAAACCTTTAGGTTAGTCTTCATTGAAGCATAATTAAATTACATTGAAACTTGCCATTGACAGTCTCCACTGGTCCACTGTTGGTACTGATAAATTCCTGGTGTAACTGCTCCAATACTGACTTGTAAAGAATCATGTGGTCCTTAAGGGGCTAGTCTGATCTACTTTCCATATTTCACTTTACAAGCATCATGTTGGCAGCAGCCACTAAACACACACTATTCACTGGAGCAAAGTTGTCAAGTTTGTGCTGAGAACTGCAGTAAATAACTTGATTCAGATCACTTGCATGTCTTCAAAGATTTTTTTTTCCAGTTGGCTTAAGGCAGACATGTGGGCACTAGTAGCCAAAGAAGTGACTTAGGGTCAACTGAACTGTGCAATATTTTAGTGCGGTGGTATTCGGCTAACAAGCCAATCACATATTAAGGGAGATTCTGTGGCCTCCTCTGCTCCATTTGCCCCGTTCAGGTAATACAGAAGAATCATCCCCCCATAGGGATTCCACCAATGTGAATGAGGCCTTAGCATATTCAGCACTTTTACCTTGCTCCCTACACTCCATGTACAGAGATCAGATTGAGGGCAGAAAGGGGAGAGTGCAGAGCTGGATTAATGCTCTTAGGGACCCAGGGCTAGTAAATTTGGTGGGGCATTTCAGGCTCTGGGATGGGATCAAAACTGAGGGCTTTTAGTGTGTAGGAGTGGGCTGCTGAGGGGCAGAAGACCGGGTGAAGACAAGGGTTGAGGGAAGAACTGGTGGCCCTATGCCACTCCCCACTACTCTCATTGGCTGTGATTCCAAGGCAATGCGAGTGGTGGGGGTGGAGCATCCAGGTGAGCACTGCTAGTGGTGATGCAAGCAGCTCCAGTTGGAGAAGGAATGGCAATTTGCAGAGCTTCTTAACCCCCTGCCAAGCAGAGCCACAGTGTGCACAGTCTGCATCCCAGAACTCTGGATGCATCCCCTAAAGACCCTTTCATAATCCAGCCCTGTGTATATAATCTTTAGGTCTGTCAAAGCACATTAATTCTGCCCTGCATTAATTGCAGGCATTAATGCAGTAAAAAAAGTGTGTTAATCACAGGTGTTTCTGTGCAGCGCTGCCCAGCTGATCCCGGGCTCCCTATGACACTGCCCCCTTTGAAACACCGTGGCATCATTTCAAAGGGGCATTGCTGCACAGCAGGCTTCCCACAGCTGCTGCATCTAGCCATAATTCTGTTGCATAACTTGGTGAAAAGTCTTCTCATGCTCTCATTCTTCTATCTGAGAGAATAATCTCCCCTGGTAAGAGCAAATATAACTTTTTAAATGAACTCCTAAACCAGGGATCATCATCCAGTAGGTTGAGATTTACTGGTAGATCTTGGAACCTTTGACAGATGTTCCTGACAGGCACTTGATCTGCCTCTCTCAGCACTGCCGTGCTGCTCCTTCCCTTTACCTTGGAGGTGCCCCTCACCCCTGGCAGCCTCCTGCTTGCTGTGGAGGGCCCAGGAAGAAGAGGAAGGGGGGTGCTGATGTCCAGGTGCCACTTTTTCCACCTGGTACTTCATCTCTACGGAGCAGAGGAGGGCAGGGATGGAGGGAGTTTGCTGGCTGCTGTTGAGAGTGGTGCAGGGCAGGGGTGAGCCTGCCTTAGCCCCCTGTGGTAACCGGTGCCCAGCATTCAGAAACCCTGGACCCAGTCCTGAACCCCTGCTGTACCCCACACCCTTGCCCCCAGCCTGATAAAAGTGAGTGAGGATGGAGTGAGCAGGGGCAGGGCCTTAGGGAAGGAGGTGAGGCAAAAGTGGGTTTGAGGTAGATCCTGGCTGCACTTGAATTCAAAAAGTGATCTCATGCTTTAAAATGATGATACCAAACTGGGTGGGGTTGCAACTTCTTTGGAGG